GTATCAATATTTTTTGTTCCGATATTCGATATTTTGTATCGATATTTGCGCGTCGCAATATTGGGTGTATCGATATTTCTGGATTGGGATCGATATTTTCTCAGGGACAAGTAATGAAAAAAAAAATTGATCTAAAAAATATTCATAACGGATTTAAAGACCAGGGAGGTCACAAGAATAAGATAATTCATCGGGGTCAAAATATCAGAAGGGACAAAAGGATCACAAGGGGATGGTCAAATTTCAAGAGGGTCAAACATCATGAGGGTCAAACGTCACGAGGGTCACAAGGGGATGATCAAACTTCACGAAGGTCAAAAGTCGCAAGGGTCACATTGAGATGATCAAGTTTCACACGGATCAAAAGTTACAAGGGGATGATCAAGTTTCACAAGGGTCAAACGTGACGAGCGAGACAAGGGGACGATCAAATTTCCCGAGGGTCAAACAGCACGAGGATCACAAGGGGATGGTCAAATTTCAAGAGGGTCAAACATCATGAGGGTCAAACGTCACGAGGGTCACAAGGGGATGATCAAGTTTCACAAGGGTCAAACGTGACGAGCGAGACAAGGGGACGATCAAATTTCCCGAGGGTCAAACAGCACGAGGATCACAAGGGGATGGTCAAATTTTACGAGAGTCAAATGTCACGAGGGTCATAAGGGAATGCCTAAATTTCACGAACGTCAAAAGTCACGGGGGTCACAACGGGATGATCAAATTTCACAAGGGTCAAAAGTCACAAGGGTCACATGGAGACAAGGTTCACAAGCATCAAACGTGACGAGCGAGACAAGGGGACGATCAAATTTCCCGAGGGTCAAACAGCACGAGGATCACAAGGGGATGGTCAAATTTCACAAGGGTCAAATGTCACGAGGGTCACAACGAGATGGTCAAACTTCACAAGGGTCATAAGAGGATGGTCAAATTCCACGAGGGGCACAAGGGGACGGTCAAATATCACGGCAGTTAACCGAAACAAGGAGACGGTCAATTTTCACAAGGGTCAAACTGGAAGGGTCACAAGGGATGATCAAATTTTAAGAGTGAGACAGTATGAAAGTCACAGGGGGATCGCCAATTTTTGAACTTTCCAGGGCCCGAAGTGATTCCGTGAAAAATTGAATAAACTTGAATAATGAACACCATTATCCTTCCTGCAAAGAGTTGGAGATTGTTCCATGTGATTCTCAAAGATCGCTAAAGCATCGTATTTCCTTATGACTCTTGTGATCCTTTGCCACTCGCGAAATTTGACGTTGGACACTCGTGGAAAATGACCATTGGAACATTCAAACGTCATAACAGTTCATTATTCCTTTGTGATTCTCGTGAGGTTTGATCCTCTTGAACATTTGCCAATCCCCTCGTGACCCTTGGGAGGTTTGGTACTCGTGAAATCTAACCAATCCCCAGTCAATCTCATGGCGTTTCACTCCGGTGAAATTTGACCCCTTGTGACCCTCGTGACGCTTCACTTCCGTGAAACTTGATCGTTCCCTTGTGGCTTTCGTAGTTTGACCCTCGTGAAATTTGATCATTCCCTAGTCACTCTCATGACGTTCCACCCTCGAATGAAGAAAATAATAAGTCTGTGCAAAATGTAATGTGGATGATACTGAATATTCATAACTTATCTCAATTTTTCCTCGCGCAATTTAATTGACAAATTTGATGATTGAAAGTGGCGGAATTAATAGAATGGTCTATACCAAATTGTAAACAATATTGGGATATCCTCACGTGAATGAATCTGAATGTTTAAGGTCTTTTAATGCGACATTCTTCAACTTTAATTTTTTTTTTATTTCCCATTGTCATCCAGAATTTTTAAAAAGATTGATATTACGAGTATCGATATTTCCCAAGGCGATACTTTGCGGTATCGATACCAAGCAATCCACTTCGATACGATACTGAGTATCGATATTTTTTTGGGTATCGGGAAACACTACAAGAAACGAGTGTGTCAAGTTGGCAGATAAATTCCTCGTACTGCGCACTCGGGATTCTTAGCCTGCAGAACTTGATACCTTTATTTGTTTGTAACACAGCTTTCAGGAAATATCCAATAATTTTGAAAATCTCTGGGTTTTTGATTCGATCTTCCTGATTATATACTTATTTGTTTTGCTCATTTTTGTAAATATTATTCGGCTTACCTGCTCCCGTTTCGCCTATATGTTCTGTTCAATCATTTTACTCATCTCTTCCATTCGACCCTTCTGATAATTTGAACCTCCTGATCATTTGGCTCGTTCCTCCTACTTGTTTGCTCATTTTTCCGGATAGCAAAATTTTTTTCGTTATCTTTTTTGCAGAGATGATTAAGAGCTACAAAAAAGGTCACTATAAAAATTTCGCTATCTCCCTTTGAGTTGGAGATATTCCTCGAAAACTTAGATGAGAGCTAAGTCGACTTAAATCGTTTTCCCGCTTCACTAGTTATTTTGCCCCGTAGTTGCTATTCTATAGAAGTATGATATATTGCACTACTAGTCTAGTCATAATAATCAATCAACAGACCTGTACAGATACTCATGTACAGATCTATAGTGAAAAACGCAAAAATTTATCGTTTTCATTTTTTTTTAATGTTTGAGATGAAATTTTAGAACTTTTTTTTTCAAACTATAGGGTATTGAAGCTAGAATTACATCAATTTTTGTCAAAGTGGTAGAAAAATCTGTACCTATGAGAATAATTTTTTTAAAGAAAGAAGTGTCGATTAAAAATATAATTCAGCAATAAAAAATATAATAGAAATTTTTCCCTTCAATTGTGAGATGTTTTTGATTTTTCATAATTTTTTCAAATTTTTAAATAGCTTTCACGTGCACAAAAAATAATGAATTGAAAAAAATGTTTTTCTGGCCATGAAAATTCAGGGAATCAATATAATGGTCTGAAATTTTGCACAGAATTGTTTTTTAGGTGATGAATATGTGAAAAAATTGCCGCATCGAAATTAGCTGGGGGCAAATTCAACATGCTTATTCGGCTAGACCGTTTCAACATCCTATCTAAATTTTTTCAACAGTTATCGTGCACTAAACGATTTTCTCATAAAAATGAAAATTCCCTATTATTACCAAAGTGTCCCTAGTTACATAGCAATATTGTGATTTGATTTGATAGATACTATCACAAGGAATATTTTGAATTAAAAAAATTCAATTCAGTCACGTAGTTTTCGAGATATTGAGGAAAACAGATTTCTGAGAAATTACTACATGTCGAGAATTACCGGAGCGTTTGAGCTAAAATTGCGCTCAGAAGTGCTTCAAAGTAATACCAATTATGTGACGAAATTTCAGATATTTATTTTTATGATTAAAATGATTCAAAAGCTGATGAGTATATGCCATGAATAATGAATAATTATGTTAAAATTTATGGATAATCATAATTGAAAGACTTTATTGAAAAAATAGCAATGAGAAGGGGAATTCGAGAAAAAAAGAGAGGAGTTTTTTTATTAAAAGGGATCGTCAGACTCAACGGGCAATTTTGGATAATGCCTATTATACTTTCCTGGTTCAAAGAATGGTTAATTGGATGATTATCGTTTGAGTATAATCACTGGGGAGTATTGAAGGGGTTGAAAATTTTTATCTGACTGGCAATTAGGTTAATTTTTAAGAATGATTAAATTTTTCTTTGTGTTCTTTCTACCTAGTTGCGAGGGAATGATGCCGTTTCAAAAAGAAATAATAATTTATTTTATTAAAAATTAATCGATTTTTCGAGATCATTATTTAAATTATTCAATTTACAACATAAATTACTGATAGACAACGCTGCAATCAAGTTTGCGACATAGGAACAAATAATACAGAAATGTCAAAATTCTTATCATGAGATTATCTTTTCAATTGCACGGAAATCAGACGTTCAAAGACACCACCCTCTTTTAATTATAGAAATTGAAGAGAAACCATCTATGATAAGCCGCTGTTTTCTCCAAGACGCGAGAAGAAAAGGGAGAAACCGGAAGAAATGAGGAGGAGAGGCAATAGAAAACAATAGTCGAGGGAAAAACAAAAAGTTTTCGTCCTCTCGTCTCGCTCGCGCCTCGTCGCACCAAACATACCCCCTTCTCCGTCACATTATTCTTTTCTTGGAGGAGTGAAAACGTCGCTACATCCTTTGAAGCGAGTGTCTTTCCGATAGACTTCAATTATGAACTCCAAAGCATAAAAGAAATTTCAATATTACTGACAAATTTGAAAAGTTTGATAATTGATTCTTCATGCTTGGGAACAAACGCCAGGTGGAGGATAAAAAGAGGAGTCCAACGAAGTGGGGGATGCTGGAGTGATGAAGCAAAGTGAAAACAATGGAAAAGTCGATCGACGACTGTCAAACGACTTTTCCAGAAAGGATTGATTCTGAAGGTGTTTTTTTCAATTGAAAATTCTGCTGTATTTAATTGACACGAGGGGATGAAGAAGTGATTTAGTTTGGAAAGTTGGAATTGGAGAGAGTAAAAAATTAAACCAGATGAAGGATATTTTTCTCAAATCTTTTGTTGAGAAATATAAAATGATACCTATAGTAATTGAAAAATGTGTATCGACTCCAGACCTTTCCGACTTTTATGTACATACTGACCTTTATCAGACCTTCGACTCTTACTAGCGTAATAAGCTTTCTGACTCTACTAATCTTTATGAGTGTCGAGAGTTTTATGATGCTTATGAGCTTTTTGACCTTTACGGGCTTCTTGACCTTCGTGAACGTCTCACCCTTCTGATCCCGATCTTCTAACACTTATGAGCGTGACGATTTTTGTCAGACTCGTATGACTTTTATGATCCCAATCAAACTGCCAGGGCCGGCGAAATTCCGAGGTATGGTGGAGAGTGGCGATGAGGGAGGGGGGGAGGGTTAAGAGCAAAAAATAAATAATTTTTAATTTTATTATTTTATTTCTTGAGGATAACAGCGAATTGTGCTGCGCGTTTATTTTTCTGATGAATTTATTCATTAATTCATCTAGATCTAAATTTTCTGCTAATTGTCGATGGTAGTATTGCAATATTATTCAGTCGCTCTTGGAGCATTGTTGATCGAAGATAATTCTTCAAGCGTCTCGTTGGTGCTTCGTTCAAGCTTCGTTCGTTGGTGCAAGTGGAATTCGGAATCGTTAATAGCAATCGGATGAATTTGGAGTACTCAGGCACCAGCTCATGGCACCAAGGATTATCTCGAAGAAACGAAACCACATCTTTGATACTCTCCAACGTAGGTTGCTTCTTTTCAACCAGACCAACGAAGAAATCATGATCTCGAACCAATGCATCCTTGTCAAAATCATTTCCGTAAAACTCGACGATTCCATCTACAGATACTTCTTTCTTCCATTTATTGTCCTCTCCTCTTGTGTTACCGTCCTCTTCTTCCCCTTCTGCTTTTTCTTCTTTCTTCTTCTTCACTGAGAAGATAGCGAAGGCTTCCAGCTAACTCAGAAATCGCATGGTACTTGAATCGCAACGATCATCAAACGCCCTCATCACAGTGTCGAAAATTTCATAGTAAACTTTCTTGTAATAATCTTTGGGCTCCTTGAATATGTGAAGGGCACTGGCTCCAGAGTTTTCCAATTTTCTTGGAATATTTCGAGTTCGTAGCAGTTTTGGGTCATCGAGTTCCAGTTCCTTTGCATCAGCTGTAGCTTTTTTCCAAATAGTGTCAAATTTAGAGTCTCGCATCTGCTTCAAACCATCAGCGACCGCTTTAACTTTCTGAGATGATTCCAATAAGCAGAGTTCTGTTTTTTGCAGCTCCGTATTCAGAATTTTGATCCGATCGAACAACTCAATGAAAAGAGTCAACAAGTAGTAGAATTCGAATGATTCTAAATGCCTGAGAAATCCAGCAGCTTTTGCCAAAACTGTGCTGTCCACCTGTCGATCGAGTCTTATTGACTCGAAAAACTCCAATGATGCTTTGTAATTCGTCTCATGCTGGAGAGACTTCAGCGAGCGTACTCGAACACGCCATCTCTAATAATTACCGTACTCTTTTCAAAATAGCACTGGAGAATAATTATCAAAGAAAATATGCAAACGCGTATTTACCTTTTCGGACAAAAAGCCACTAGAGCAGATTTTTTTTCAACCCCGTCATTTTCAGTCAAAACTGCCGATTGAAATGCTTGAAATTAAGCGAGGCGTTTAGGCGAATCCCTCACGAAATTGATGAGATCTTTAACTATGCCAATGAATTTCTTGGCGGCATCAACGCCCTCCAGAGCATCTTGAGTAATGAGACTTACGTTGTGTGCGTCGCAGTGTGAAAATAAGGCGCGAGGTTCTATTTTTCGAATCAGAGTGTGAAGGCCCGTGATCCTTTCTGAGACATTGCTAGCACCGTCGAAGCATTCTCCACGTAATTTCTCGAACTCTAAGGAATGTGTCTCAAAAACAGGCTTTACAATAGCTAAAAGAGTTTCCGCTTTAGTATTTGGCGTATCGTAAAATCTAAGAAATCTTTCAGTGATCAATAATTCTTCGGAAACAATTCTGATTGATATCGAAACTTCCTCTAGATGAGAGGCATCTTGGGTTTCATCCAGTTAGTGTTTCCCGATTCCCAAAAAAATATCGATACTCAGTATCGTATCGAAGCAGATTGCTTGGTATCGATACCGCAAAGTATCGCCTTGGGAAATATCGATACTCGTAATATCGATCTTTTTAATTGACAAATTTACAATTTGGTACAGACCATTCTATAGATTCCGCCACTTTCAATCATCAAATTTGTCAATTAAATTACGCGAGGAAAAATCGAGATAAGTTATGAATATTCTGTATCATTCACATTACATTTCGCACAGAATTATTATTTTCTTCATTCGAGGGTGGAACGTCATGAGAGTCACTAGGGAATGATCAAATTTCACGAGGGTCAAACTCTAGACAGCCACAAGGGAGACGATTAAATTTCACCAGTCAACCAACACGAGGGTCATATGGGGATGGTCAAATTTTACGACGATCACAAGAAGATGGTCAAATTTCACGTAAGTGAAACGTCACGTGTCAAAAGGAGATGGTCAAATTTCACGAGAGTCAAACAGCACGAGAGTCACACGGGGATGGTCAAACTTCACAAGAGTCAAACGTCATAAGGGTCACAAGAGTGTGGTCGAATTTAACAAGTGTCAAACGTCACGAGGATCTCACGGGAATCGTCAAATTTTACGGGGTAGAAACGGCACGAGGATCACAAAGAGACGATCAAATTCCACGAGAGTGACTCGACACGAGGGTCACAAGAGATCAAATTTCACCGGAGTGAAACGCCACGAGATTGACTAGGGGTGGGTTAGATTTCACGAGTACCAAACCTCCCAAGGGTCACGATGGGATCGGCAAATGTTCAAGAGGATCAAACCTCACGAGAGTCACAAAGGAATAATGAAATGTTCTGACGTTTTAATATTCCAATGATTATTTTCCACGAAGGTCCAACTTCAAAGGAGCGAGGAGCAAAGGATCACAAGAGTCACAAGGAAATGCGATGTTTTAACGATCTTTGAGAATCACATGGAACAATCTCCAACTCTTTGTAGAAAGGATAATGGTGTTCATTATTCAAGTTTATTGAATTTTTCACGGAATCATTTCGGGCCCTGGAAAGTTCAAAAATTGGCGATCCCCCTGTGACTTTCATACTGTCTGACTCGTAAAATTTGATCGTCCCCTTGTGACCCTCTCAGTTTGACCCTTGTGAAAATTGACCGTCCCCTTGTGTCGGTTAACTGCCGTGACATTCGGCCGTCCCCTTATGACCCTCGTGTGAAAATTTGACCCTCGTGGAATTTGACCATCCCCTTATGACTCTTGTGAAATTTGATCTCGTTGTGACCCTCATGACGTTTGACCCTTGTGAAATTTGACCATCCCCTCGTGACCTTCATCATGTTTGATGTTTGTGAACCTTGTCTCCATGTGACCCTTGTGACTTTTGACCCTTGTGAAATTTGATCATCCCCTTGTGACCCCCGTGACCTTTGACTTCCGTGCAATTTAGGCATTCCCTTATGACCCTCGTGACGTTTGACTCTCGTGAAATTTGACCATCCCCTCGTGACCTTCATCATGTTTGATGTTTGTGAACCTTGTCTCCATGTGACCCTTGTGACTTTTGACCCTTGTGAAATTTGATCATCCCCTTGTGACCCCCGTGACCTTTGACTTCCGTGCAATTTAGGCATTCCCTTATGACCCTCGTGACGTTTGACTCTCGTGAAATTTGACCATCTCCTTGTGACCCTCAGCTGTTTGACCCTCGGGAAATTTGATCGTTCCCTTGTCTCGCTCGTCACGTTTGACCCTTGTGAAACTTGATCATCCCCTTGTGACTCTTGTGACTTTTGATCCGTGTGAAAATTGATCGTCTCAATGTGACCCTTGTGCCTTTTGACCTTCGTGAAATTTAATCATGNAGAGTCACAAAGGAATAATGAAATGTTCTGACGTTTTAATATTCCAATGATTATTTTCCACGAAGGTCCAACTTCAAAGGAGCGAGGAGCAAAGGATCACAAGAGTCACAAGGAAATGCGATGTTTTAACGATCTTTGAGAATCACATGGAACAATCTCCAACTCTTTGTAGAAAGGATAATGGTGTTCATTATTCAAGTTTATTGAATTTTTCACGGAATCATTTCGGGCCCTGGAAAGTTCAAAAATTGGCGATCCCCCTGTGACTTTCATACTGTCTGACTCGTAAAATTTGATCGTCCCCTTGTGACCCTCTCAGTTTGACCCTTGTGAAAATTGACCGTCCCCTTGTGTCGGTTAACTGCCGTGACATTCGGCCGTCCCCTTATGACCCTCGTGTGAAAATTTGACCCTCGTGGAATTTGACCATCCCCTTATGACTCTTGTGAAATTTGATCTCGTTGTGACCCTCATGACGTTTGACCCTTGTGAAATTTGACCATCCCCTCGTGACCTTCATCATGTTTGATGTTTGTGAACCTTGTCTCCATGTGACCCTTGTGACTTTTGACCCTTGTGAAATTTGATCATCCCCTTGTGACCCCCGTGACCTTTGACTTCCGTGCAATTTAGGCATTCCCTTATGACCCTCGTGACGTTTGACTCTCGTGAAATTTGACCATCTCCTTGTGACCCTCAGCTGTTTGACCCTCGGGAAATTTGATCGTTCCCTTGTCTCGCTCGTCACGTTTGACCCTTGTGAAACTTGATCATCCCCTTGTGACTCTTGTGACTTTTGATCCGTGTGAAAATTGATCGTCTCAATGTGACCCTTGTGCCTTTTGACCTTCGTGAAATTTAATCATGCCCTTGTGACCTTCGTGACGTTCGAACCTCGTGATGTTTGACCCTCTTGAAATTTGACCATCCTCTTGTGATCCTTTTGTCCCTTCTGATATTTTGACCCCGATGAATCATCTTATTCTTGTGACCTCCCTGGTCTTTAAATCCGTTATGAATATTCTTTAGCTTAATTTTCTTTTCACTACTTGTCCCAGAGAAAATATCGATCCCAACCCAGAAATATCCATACATCCAATATCGCGATGAGCAAATATCGATACAAAATGTCGAATATCGGAACAAAAAATATCGATACAAGTATTGTTACTGGATCGGGAAATACTACATCCAGTGTTAAGGCGAAAAAAGGTACAGCGTTGATCGTTTCTTGGTTTTTCTTACGAATTTCTGAAGCCATCGCATCGAGAATCTCGTTTTGCACGTCGCGGTGTAACCATTTATAATCACCATCAGGGCGAGTCAACCAGTCTCTCCGTTCCGGAACGTCCTCTGATCTCACCTTCAGAATTTGTAGGAAATTCGATCGCTCATCATTGTTGCTAACTCTCAATGGCAGTCCTTGCATAGCCAAAAATTGAATCGTACTGAACATTTTGTGGAGTGTTGTGCACCATTTCTTTTGTCTTAGCAGTATAAATCAGTTGGATCACGTTTTGAGTCGAATGATTGCGCAGTAACTCGTGGGATGCTCGGTGTAACTCACTACTCTCATGAGATACGAATAATTTATACGCATTTGACCAGCCGCTGAATCCCTTGTCTACAAAAACTTCACGCGATATTTGACAACTTGCAGATCTCGGAATAGGCAATTGTTGCTTCACAGTATCACTGCATATAGTATAAATTCCTCTGTTCTCGGAATTAATTGTAAGCCACGGATGTTTTCCTTTCCATGTTTTCAGCCTCGAATCGGAAGGACGATCGATTTTTTTCAGAACTAGAAATCGAATTACAAAATTGAAATATGACGAATAAAGTCCAAAATCTCACGAATAAAATCCTACTCTAAAATTGTAATTTCCAAAACAATTTACTCGTAACATTCTTATTTGCATTTGTGGAGAGAGAACTTGACTCGCGTTCAACTACGCCGGCACCTGAGGTTATGTCAACTTCTGATACTTTAGAAACCTGTGATTCTTCACGAGACTTGTCTAATTCTGTCCTTTTCCGTTTACCACGTATCAAGTATCGGTCCATCTTTCACTACCACTACTGAAAAATCCCTTTCTATACCCACGAAGCCGTTTCTATACATGTGCTCAGTGAGAAGCCGGCTCAACTGTTCGGTCACAATGAGAGGAGAGTCGTGAGTGAGGGAAGTGATGAAACGGTTGACACGGACCCTCAAAACAGGGGCGTAACTAATTTTTTTCAGGCGTTTGTTGTTCGGGATGAAAATTAGCAATTAATTAAAGTATGGTAGACCATACTTAGCAATTTTCGAGGCATGGTGGCCACCATACCCACCATACCCTTTCCGCCGGCCCTGCAGACTGCTAAACCTTATCTGCTTAATGAATTTCATGACTTCTTGTTCCTTATGAGGAGGTTTATAGGGCTCATGAATCTCGTGAGGCTCATGAGCTTAATAACTTTGAGGAGCTTTATGACTGTCATAATCCTTTTGCGCTTTCTGATACTTTTGACTCTTATGACACTTATAAGTTATGTGATCGATATAATATACTTGACGCTTATGACGGTTACGACTTTAATCAGACTGCTAACCTTTATCACCTTAATGCGTTTTCTGACTCTTTGACCCGACGAGCTTCTTGAGTCTGATGTCGATAGGCTCCCTATCGTCATGATCTCGAGGGGTTCATGACTCTTGTAATACTTTTGAGTTTCCTGATCCTTTTGAATCTTCTAACACTTATGAGCGTTACGATCTTTATCGGATTCTTATGACTCTTCTGATTTCGATCAGATCGCTGAACCTTATCTGCTTAATGAGTTTCTTGACTCATTAATACTTATGGGGTGCAAGAGCTTGACGACTTTTATAGGACTCGCGGCCCTTGTGAAAATCTTGAACCTTATTACCTTGATGAGCTTGATGACTTACTCTTTTCGTGAGCTTTCTAACCCTTGCGAATATTATGATTTTTATGAGATTCATGACCCTCATGAGCCTCCTTACCCTTATTTCAATTCCTCTTTCTTTTGCCCCTTATGGATATCGAATGAACTTCTGACCTTTATAGGCACCAGATATCTGACACTCTGAATGTTATTAACTAACCTTGTGACTCCTACTCAGAGGCGTACCCGAAAAACAGAAGCCCTCTTGAAACCTCAAGCTTTTTTACTTTTATAACTTGTCAATCCCATCAGATTTATGACTCTTATAACCATTAAGAACACCTTACTCATTCTATACTTTCTCATCCTCTGCCAATTCCTGATCCTTATGACATCATGGCATTCACTTTTTTGTCCTGCTGATTTCGCGTGGATCTTCTCATATGAGTCTATGACTCTTATCACCCAAACCCTTATGACCATTTCTCATAGATATCCCCCGAAAATTTTCTGGTGCATTCGAATATATTTCATCATTATATGAAGAGATATAATTGAACAAAGCTTAGAAAATCCTTAATCATGAAAGATAGAAATGTTTTGACTATTTTTTAAATTCTCTTTCATTTTTCATTTTTTTTTGTTTTCCTTGATGAATGAACAGGTATAAAAGACACACCCTCTTCGTAATCCTCGGATACTATAAAGGGCACGAGAGAAGGGACTGAAAGAGGGAACGAGGTCTATTGAATAGCGTGACGATATTCCTCCGTTAGTTGGACATTAATTGGGCCACGAGATCTTTGTGTTTTGTGGTGGGGTGTCGGTTCGTGTATCCATTTTTGGGTTATTGTGAGAATCTATGTGAACGGTTGGCTGATTTTATTTAAGAGGATTAACGCTGTTTCATGGTATTCGACATCTTTTTTATTCCATTTGAGTCTTTTTGAATGGAGTATCCAAAGCTACACAATATGATAAAATATAAAACATCTTTGTTTTTTTTTTAGATAATGTGAATTTTCAATGTTCAGCACGAAAAACGCCAGAATCCTAGGCAAAAAATGTTTTTATGAAAGAAAAAGGGGAAAAACAAATGGCTTCATCAACACCAATGTTAAGAATGGTACTCTACGGTGAAGAGAGATATGGGATGAATTCTGTTGTGTTTCGAATATTCACAAATTTTATCGAAAATTTATTAATTACTCGGAATTATTATTTAAATTATTGAATTTATAACAATTTCATCAATCGGTCAGCTCGAATTGTTTATGTCATATGAAACTATAACATTCGATCATTTCCAGAGTTTTTAAATTATTCATTGATTGAAATTTACACCCAGAAAAATGATTTATTTGAATCAAATAAAGTTTATTTAAATCAAATAAATAAGTTTGTTTAAATAGTACTAAATAAAGTATTTTTTCAAGTTGAATAAGAATTTCTATTCGAAGTTTTATTTATGTTGAATAAGTGTTTTTTTATTGACAATAAATCTTTATTTCATCCAAATGAATTCTTTATTTGAATCAAAAAATTTTGCCTTTGAACTAAATAAATATTTATTTAATGCTGATAATTTATGATCGCTTCGAGATGGTAATAAACTCGAAAAAGATTGAACAAAATTTCTGTTCCATGGTTTTACTATCAGGGAGATGATGGTGAAAGAAGGTCGTATATACTGGAGTGAAAAGTGTAATCAAAAATTGGATCCGAATGATTCTGGGCAGCTCAAATCGTCAAGATCCTTTCCTGCTTAAGATTCATATGACCTTCTTCCACTTGGTTGCCCTAAAATAGCCAAAATGGTCAATACAACATTTTTCCACATAGGCCATGAATATTGTTGGAACACACTTTTGAAATTCTTTCACGAAATACATGAAAATGTGATTTTTAAAAATGAGAAAACTATNGTAATATTAATGATACATACTGTTACAGAATGAAATAAATTACCATTTCCCCTTGTGAATGAGAATGGAATGGAACTGAATGTATAGGCATTATTATATTACGTGTCTCGTTCTCGATGATAGTAATGTAGTCATGCTTGTCATGCCTAGCTTCACAACGTTTAGCGCCCAAATTTAAAAGAAAAAGCAGGGGTGGCACCCTCCGTAGCCATCTCCCGAATCTCTCCGGCCCCTCCATTTCATATTGTTTCGTTGTGCCGAAGCGTCAAGACGTTTAGCCGTGTATTATCTCAAAAGAAGGAATAATTCCGTCGAATTTTTTCTTTTGAGAGTCAACATGCCGAGGAGAAGTCGTTCCAGATCGAGATCCAGGAGTCATAAGAAGAGTAGACGTGATGAGAAATTCGAAGAATTGCATAAAAGACTTGATAACCTAACAAAGGTGGTTGAGACGCTGGTGACTGTACAAACAGTACAGACCACCTTGAAAGCGCCTCCTGAACCCAAGTCTACTGACATCGAGAAAACTGGTAAGTTATTAGCTGTGTCTCGATGTCTACCTTGCCTTTCCAGACGAAAGTGTGAGGGACAAACCCATACGGTTTTGTCTGGTCAATAAGACCGCAATAAAGACATTTGTCAGCAATTGAGTTCAATAAGAACGATGGTGCCATAAAAAATCGTTATCGTGTCTCTAGATGACAGCGAGAAGGAGAATCGACCGACAAAACGCCCAGAGGACGTTGAAATCCAGGTGATTGAGGAAATCGGAACTTCGAGAGAGACATCAGAGCAACAAGCAAAAAATGAAGCTCTAAAGTTATTGGGAGCTGACCCCAGTGATTGTAAATTCAAGAAAGCTCAATTCCATCCAGAATTGAAAAACACGGATGAAATGGAAAAAAGAAGGTCTTCCTGAGAAAAATAAAAAAGAAATCATCGAATTGTACAACAGGCAAGGAGATCTTTACATGGAGGCACCTGCATTAAATGAAGATGTTCTTCCCTTGTGTAAGGGAATTCCAAAGCAGAGAGACGACCATTTCGTGAACACTCAAAACTGTGTTGGTACTGCGATTGTTGCTTTGGGGGCGGCCATGAGTTTGCTTCTAGAACAGTCCGAAGATGGCGTTGATGAGGAGGAACTGACGGAATGTATTAGTCACGCTGCCCAGATGATGGTTGATGTTTTCCACCAGCAGTCGGTAGGAAGGAAATCTTTTATTACCCCAAAGTTAGGTGACGACATGAAGGAAATGGTCGACAGATTGATTTCGGATGAGTTACTGTACGGGGACAAACTCAAAGATAAAATCAACAGCGTGACGGAGATTGGCAAAGTATGCGATAATATCAAGAAAAAAGCTGCTCTGAAGTATACTCCTGGTTATAAGAACCAGGGAAACTCGAAATACCCACCTGTCGGGAGTCGTCAGGTGGGTCCAGTTCCAAAGCGTCGTCCAATGAAATTCAAACCCAAACCCTACAGGACCCCCCACCCTTCATCCAGGCCGACGGAGAGGAAGAGGACCTCGTCATCGAGGAGGTAGTGCAGGTAAAGAAACCAGCAGGTCGCCTCCGTTATTTTGTGGACAGATGGAGCAACATCACATCGGATAGATATATTTTAGAATGTTTAAATGGATACAAAATCCCATTTATTAAGACTCCATTCCAGACTATCGCTCCAAAGGGAAAAGAATTCTCTAGAGAAGAATCTGAGAAATTAAGTGTCGAAATTCAGAAGTTATTAAAAAAGGGCGCGATAGAGGAATGTGAAGACTCTGCAGGGCAGTTCCTTTCGTCATACTTTTTAGTTCCAAAATCCGATGGCACGAGTCGATTCATTTTTAATTTGAAGAATTTAAATAAATTCATCAATCCACCACATTTCAAACTCGAAGATATGAGAACCGCTATAAATCTTCTCTCTCAAGATGATTTCATGGGGACAATGGATCTTAAAGATGCATATTTTCTTGTTCCCATATTTGAAGGACATAAAAATTTTTTGAGATTCAGGTTTGAGGGAAAATTTTTCCAATTCTCGTGTCTGCCCTTTGGGTTATGCACGAGCCCTTATATTTTTACAAAAATAATGAAGCCCATTGTCAATAAATTGAGATTAGAGGGAATGCTGTTGGTGCTGTACCTAGATGATTTTCTTTTCATACATGAATCAAAGCAAGTTTGTGAGAGAAATATGTACGAAGTGATTCAATTACTAGAACATCTAGGGCTCATTGTCAATTACGAAAAAAGTTCACTCATAGCTAAACAACAATGTAAATATTTGGGTTTTATCATTGACTCAGTCGATTTTTCTCTAAATTTAACAAACAAGAAGAAAGAACAAATTAGAAAATTGACAAATGAATTTAAAGTCAATAAATCTTACAAAATACGAAGGTTTGCAGAATTTTTAGGTACCTTAACAGCAGCATGTCCAGCTGTAGTTTACGGTTTTATACATTGCAAGAGAATGGAAAGATTAAAATTTTTGACATTACAAATGAATGGAGGAAACTATGAGAAAAAATTGACACTAACTGAGAATCTCGCAGAGGATCTCAATTGGTGGGAAGATCACGTGTCTATTGGCTCAAATCCTATCAGAACCCAGGTGTATTCGAGAGAAATTTTTTCAGATACATCCCTGTCTGGATGGGGTTGCTATTATAATGGTCAATCAGCCTTTGGATTTTGGGACGAACATGAAAAGAGCCAACATATCAATTATCTTGAACTGTTGGCTGCTTTTTTTGCACTAAAATGTTTTGCATCAGACTTAACACACTGTGAAGTGTTACTCCGTCTGGATAACACTACAGCTATTTCATATGTAAACAAGGCTGGTGGAATACAATTTCCACATCTCAGTGAATTAGCAAGAAGTATCTGGAAGTGGTGCGAAGAGAGGAAATTGTGGTTAAGGGCATCTTATATTCCTTCAGCCGAAAATACGGAAGCCGATAGGGCGTCACGTGAGGTAAATATAGATTCAGAGTGGGAGCTAGCTGATTGGGCTTTTAAAAAGGTTAAAAAACAATTCGGTAATTTCTCAGTAGATTTATTCGCATCAAGAGTGAATAAAAAATGCAAAAAATTCTATTCAAGATTTCCAGACCCAGAGGCAAATGCCATTGATGCATTCACAATCAATTGGACAAATAAAAAATTTTACGCATTTCCTCCCTTCGCCCTCATTCTACGGTCTCTGAGGAAAATAGTTAATGATAAAGCTGAGGGAACAATGGTAGTACCTTTATGGCCCACACAGCCGTGGTATTCCCTTGTTTACATCTCTTCTAGTAAAACCGGTGCTCACATTTGAACCCAATCCGACTTTGTTATTATCTCCTTTCAGAGACTCGAACCACCCGCTAGCGTCCCACCTTTCATTGGTGGTGGGCAAATTATCAGGTCAGCGTATATGAATAAAGGATTATCAGACGAAGCTGTGGAAGTGATAGTCAGTTCCATCACAAGATCATCACTGAAACAGTATGAAAGCTCTCTTAAACGATGGTGGGAGTTCACCCATGTGCATGGGATAGATTTATTTAATGCAAAAACTACCGAAATTATTCAGTTTTTGAATGAACGTTTCAATGACGGTGCGAGTTACACCACATTAAATACATCTCGTTCATCAATCTCACTAATTACTACTTACAACATAAATGAAGATGGTTTGATTGGTCGTTTTATGAAAGGTGTGTCTAAGCAGAGACCAACAAAAGCGAAGTATAATACTACATGGGATACTACGCCAGTTTTGAATTATATCGAAAAATTAGTAACACACAAGAATTTATCAACGAAAGAGTTAGGAGAAAAAGTTGTGACCTTATTAGCCTTGACAACTGCACAAAGGCTTCAAACATTATCTGTAATCAATATAGATAATATTGAAAGGTCAGAGACGGAGTTACGAATTAAAATCCCAGATCAGATCAAGAGCACGAAACCTGGTGCCTTTCAACCAGAGTTAATTTTGCCATTCTTTAGAGGAAAAACCTAATTTGTGTGTAGCTTCAGCTGTGTTAGAGTATATTGATGTTACAAAAAGTTTGAGAAGTGTTGATACAAAAAACTTATTTATCTCAGCATCAAAGCCTTATGCTGCAGTTGGCGCACAAACAATTGGTCATTGGATCAAAGCGCTGTTGAGCAAAGCTGGTGTGGACACCAACCAGTTTACAGCTTACAGCACACGTCACGCAGCGGTTTCCGCAGCGCATAAAGGAGGCGTGGACATTCCAACTATTAGACGTAGTGCTACGATGGGCTCCTAATTCCCAAACCTTCATTAAATTTTACAATCGACCCATCCAGCCTCCCAATGACCAATTCGCTCGTGCGATCCTTGAATAACATTGAAATATTTTGTGTTCATTATTTGTTTATCATTTAGTTCTCTGTTCCATTATGGATAAAAGTTTATGTTTTTGAATAAAAAAAAAAAAAAAAACACGAAAAGAATTATCATACTCTAAAGTTCTACATTACTATCATCGAGAACGAGACACGTAATATAATTGATAGATCAAACGAGCCCGCCGAAGGCGGGCGAAGTTTGATCGAAATTATATGAAGTGTCTCGTTCGAAGATGATAGTCCCCTCCCTTAATTCCCAAAAAAAAAAAAAACCCCACTATCATCTTCATACCCTGTCATAATTCTTTACATTTTCAACAAAACAATATGAAATGGAGGGGCCGGAGAGATTCGGGAGATGGCGACGGAGGGCGCCACCCCTGCTTTTTCTTTTAAATTTGGGCGCTAAACGTTGTGAAGCTAGGCATGACAAGCATGACTACATTACTATCATCTTCGAACGAGACACTTCATATAATTTCGATCAAACTTCGCCCGCCTTCGGCGGGCTCGTTTGATCTATCAATTTCAAATAAATAAATTGTTTTTTTGTGGCGCGAGACACAAACGAATTATTATGTTGAATTTTGATTAACGCGTCTCGAATATTCTCTATTGTCGTATTCGAGACAAATATCATCCTATCCTGGTTCCTCACGAAATTTCTGGACAATTCTCGAACCTTCCATAATAAAAGGAATATAAACCCTCGTATTCCCGACCACAATGTTCAGTCCGATTCAGTCCGATACCGAGACAGATGTAAACACATCTTTTTAAATCTAAATATAAACGTCTTTATTCCACAACTACGAGTTCTTATTTCACGACACGCACTAAACCGCCACATCTTGCAAT